TGCTGTATGTATATAGGCCATGTGGAAGGATGCAGCCATGGTGGAGCACAGACTGAGCTTGTTGCTGAGCCTGGCAGTTCAGACTGCTTCCTTAAACCCCCCAAAAACCCCAGTGCTCACACAGGTCCAACCATTTTTGGTTTAATTCATTGTACTAAAATGCACACATATAACAAGTCAACAAGTAACCAGAGGCAAACTTTAGTGTTATAGTAACACGATTCAATAGAGTTAACACTGCATAATTTTCATAGCTCCATTCTCACCCATCACCATTTCCTCCTGGACTTGCCTGGTGAAGTCCTCCGCCTCAGTTGGTTTCCCAAAAGTTTGCATTCTGTCCTTATAAGTCACCAACAGTCTGGCGGGAACAAGCATGCTGTGTCTTATCTCCATGCTATGGAGCTTTTGTCAGACAGTCGAATTCTTTCTACTTTTGATGCAGGTAGAAGCGCACTGATTGATCCTTGTGAAGAATTTCTTTTATGGCTCTGGCTGCTCTTGAAACAGCCACCTTGTCCCTGTCACTCAGAAACGCTATTATCATTGTTCGCGGGGGGAGCGCCGGGCTCTCGTCTCTGGCCAACACGGTGAGCTTTCTCCAGTCCGGTGCTTTGAGCCCCACTGCCTCCGGTATCCATTTCTATATTGAGAAACGAGCAGGTAGATTAACCAGCCTCAAGTTTGATTGCTTGGACCATGCTTCAAGGTCTGCAGCTTTGTCTTCAAGCTCCTTTTTCTTATCCTCTAGTGACTGAACTTAATCCTGGAGGCTAACCACACAATCTTCAGTATTGGTATTGGTTCAGTATTCAGTGTCAACATTCACAATGCAATCTGTACACTCTCTTATTTCCACTTGCACATCATCAATCACGACCAGGATTCCGTCAAATTTGTTTGAGAAGTCTGCTTTTAAATCTTTGATGGCATGGCCTTGTTCATTATTTCTGCTTCGATGCTTGAAGCAGCCTCACCCAGCATGTTGTTAGCTTTAGTGCTACTGCAGCTACACAGCTAATCTTAGCCGAGTTGTAGTCTGACATCCTTGGTTGCAGGTTTTTTGCACGATGTCTGCTCATTTTTCCTGGTGCAGATGACATCGGAGTCTTGCAGAGATGATGTGTCAAGTCACAAATCAGGGCTATAACAGGATTGAAGTCTAGTGGAGAGGAGAAAAACATGACTGACTTGTCCATTACAGGAAGTCTCTTTTTGTTTAATTCAGACCCTCAGTCCAACACTGTGATCCAAGATAAAACATAATTGGATTGAAATTATTGGATGCATTGTCTTTAAATTGGAATGGACATTCACACACACTACACTTTTCCATGTGGCCAACACTTTGGTTGTCCAAAACATAGGGCCTCATTCACTAATGTGTGCATAGAAGCATTCTTATTCTGCAAATAAAATAAGTGCGCACGCAGTCTCACTGTTGGATTCATGGCACGTGTGCTGGCTGATTTTGTTCCCTACCTCTGTTGGTGAATCAGAGTCATTCTAAATTGATGGATGCATGTGCGCTACCTGCAGTCAGCACACTGCTACGACTGATTAAAGATATACGGTCTTCACAGGGTAAAGAGAGTAAAGATCTTGATTTAAAGGACTTTGAACTGAGGTTTTTCCAGGTGTCCGAGAACTTTGAGAAAAGAAAATGTCTCTCTTTTAGCTGCGTAGCTGTCACTGTTATGGAAAAGCACATAACATTGCAATTTTCAGGAAGTTTAGAGCTGACCTATAATACTAAGCCATCTGTTAAAGCCATCAGCCGTCGCCTCCGAACTCACCTGAACTCCAGTTCCAGCAGGAAAGTGTGGGTTTTTTCTTTTTCTTTTTACTTTGTCAGTTACTCAGCGCTCGTGGGAACTTAAAGGACAGGTGGTAAAACAAACTTGATTCCTGGAGGACCTCTGATTTCTGCCCACTTAGCTGTTTTTAAATGAGAAGACAAGGAGCTAAACACAAGAACAACATCAGGCTCTGAGACACTGAGCGTCTGATGAAGTGTGACGATTCAGTAACAGCCCACGCTGTAATCTCTGTCTGGACTGGTTTTCCAATTTCATGCTCCTGCTGTGATTTCAGATACCAGACAGTAGATAAATTGCTCTAATGCTTCCCGGATACAAACCTGTGCACACAAACGCATAAATGCCTTTTTGTTGTTATCAAAGTGGTTAAATTCTTCAATGGTAAAGAGGCGGAAAGCCCAGCAACTACATTTCTAAATATATTAGATTACACTGTAAGCCGTCTGATCAGGGTCCCCATGGTCATGGAAAATCTGGAAAAGTCATGCATATTCTCCCGGCCAGGAAAAGTCAAAATCATCGAAAATTTTGGAAAAGTCATTGAACTTTGTTGTGTTTAATGAAATTGTTACAGTACTCTTACAAGGATAACCTTCCAAGTAATGCACAACATTGCACTAACATGTAAATATGTGACAACATCTTGTTCACCATCACAGAAGTTTCTTCATTTTCTCCCCACAGTCCGTCTCTCCCTTCATGTATGCCAGCAAGCTGAGATTGTGTTTGAATAGAGTTCGAGTCTGATATGTTTGAAAAATGCTGCACAAGTAGAGCAAGAAAAGAAATATGTATTGCGGGTCCTTAAAAAGTCATGGAAAAGTTCTGAAATTAACTCCATAAAAATATGTGGGAACCCTAATATCAATTAACCAACTTAACCAAAACTCGCATGCATGCGTCTAGAGATCGAAGAATCCAAAAACTACGAAAATTCTTCATGAATTTAAGTCATAGGGGTCCACGTTTAACAACAGCAAAACTATATCAAAGCATCTGTTTACAAATGCTCTCATAACTCATGCATTTATAATCCAAGTCCCAGTGAAAAAACATCCCAGTAGATCAGCAGTTTCTGAAATACTCAGACCAGCCCGTCTGGCACCAACAACTATGCCACGTTCAAAGGCACTTAAATCACCTTTCTTCCCCATTCTGATGCTCGGTTTGAACTTCAGCAGGTCGTCTTGACCATGTCTACATGCCTAAAGGCATTGAGCTGCTGCCACGTGATTGGCTAATTAGCTATTTGCGTTAACAAGTAACTAAACAGTTGTACCTAATAATGTGGCAGTGTTACACTTATAAGATTTAGTTTCCAGATAAACAAAGTTAAAACATTAGGCTGACAGCAGTAATGAGAAGAGTGAGACTCACCAGTCAGTGCAGAGCAGCAGCTGCAGCGACGAAGACTGGGGGTGTGGTGTGTTCAAGTGTAATAGGCACTTTATTGATCCTGGAGAGAAATAACTTTTTTTAACTTTGCTAAATTGCCACAGCAAGTAACAACTCACGTACAGTATAACACAGCATGTAACAAGTAGTGAATAAAACCCACAATTTGAGAAAACGCGTGGCTGAGACTGTCAGATCCTCTCATTACAAGGTAACTGTGCAAAAGTGTGCATGTTAAGTGGCTCAGTGATCCGCAGTACGTTCAGTGAACGGATCACTCACTGAAAGTACTGGCACTGTAGCACGCCACGTTCGTTCAGTCACAGTGCGACTGAACGTACTGCATAGTGAGTGCAGTGCACGTGAGCCCTCAGCCCAATTTGCCGAGTAGACCAGTTAAAAAACCCTCATTCTAAACAGTGTTCATTTACGATAGCCTACTATATATAGGACAGGACACTTAAAACATCATGATTTATAATCGAGTTTATTTTTACAAACATGTTTGTCAAAGCAACACAGCGCACCCGGCCGTCTCCACTCCCGGAACCAAAACATGAATCGTTCAGCCGTGTATCAGTTCAGTATCAGTCACAGGCTCCTCCCGCCAAGCATTGAATGATTTGGTGAACGAATCTTTTTAGTGAACTGATTCTAGTGATTCAGTAACATCTAAAGAACTGCCGTGCCCAACACTACAACAGCGATCTGTTTCTCACTCTACTAGTGACAGGCGTCAGTCATTGATACGTTACATACACAGCGCCCTCTGCTGACCAGGTGTTCCACACATTTAAGACACAACCAGTCCTGCTAGAAAATAATAAAAATCACATAGACGACATCAAAACAGTCATTTTAACATATGCTAAAGTCCTTAGCTGTTTCTAATGAGTTTTAATTTTAAATGGGGGGCAAGGCATTTTATTCCTTTTTCATGTCTCTGTCTCCAAAACACTTTTAATGTCTCTGAAGAACACTCAGTGCCACAGCAGTCACCAAAAGTACTTGGTTAGGTTTAAAAAAAAAGGGTTTGTGTGAAAATAAGTACATTTGTTATGTAACTTAAGTAAGTTAATGTCCCTTGATGTATGTCACATGACACATGTTATACAACATTATATATGAAATATATACATTTCAGTTACCTGTTTTTCCAGCCGCCAGTACTGTCTCTTCTACCTATAAAAGGATTAACAGTTGTGAGGTCACATGAAATGGTAGCTGCAGACATGTCTTTCTCAGAAAGCCAGTTAATATTTTCAAAAATGAGTGAGGGATTGAATGTTTTGATTAATCGACTCTGAGTCAAGGTCAGACTTTTTTTTTTGCAGCACAAAAAACAAATAAACAAATTGAAAAACACGAATCCAGTAAATCATTTTTGAATACAAGTCAGCAATCTGGCTGATTTTTCCTCTGATCAGTGTCGTGTTTTAAGATGTCTGGTTTTATTTTTATCCACTTTGCAGTAAATGAATGCACTGAAAGAATAAAAGAACAGACATTTCCTCTACCAGGCACATTTATTAAAGTATCTTCAAACTCTGGTCAGAGAGAAATCTTCAGCAGGTGTTTCTGTAAGCGTGATCTGTGTTGAACTGAGGACAAAAGGGCATGAGCAGAGTGTATGAGCTTACACACACCTGTCACTGTTCAACTTAAAAGGCAGGTCTTATGATGTAAGAGGCTCACAGCGCTCACATTGTGCTTGTGATTGACTCTGTAATGATGTAACCAATTGAATCTGTATCTAACCTTGCTGTCTCTCTGTCACCCACACAGGAGCAGCTTGCCTTCGAGATCGCCTCACATTTCGCTTCTGTCAGACTCTCCGTTGGCTCGGCCGGTGCCACTTGCCCAACGTGAGAGCCCAGTGCTGCAAAACCTGCAGCCAGCGTTCCCGCTCCATCAGCATGTCTCGCCCCTGAGCTGACACAAAGTAACCACTCATCAACAGGAACACTGAAGAAATATAAACCATCATTTAAGTTCACCAATCTGAGCCTTTCCTGAGTTCTTTGCCACTGCAGACTACGTGTGAATCAGTCCCGCCCCAAAACTCAGCATGTTTGTGCTGGTGACGTCATCATACAGGGCTGACACTGATTGGAGATGTAACGAAGCCTCTCTTAGCAAAACAATGAGAATGTAAATATTTTTTTGCACTTTTTATATCATGCAGAATCGAGATTTCTTTGTAACATATGTGGTGCTGTGTAAGGGTTCTTCTGTTGATGTAGCCAGCTTTATACTGCGTTATTACACATGTAGATAAACCACTCATTAACCTCTACGGTTGGTACAATGCTCTCATTTTGATGACAGCAGCAGAAACTGAACAGATCTAACAGACAGGGAAACAACTCACTATGTGGTTTTTACGTATATAATGTGGTACAAGTGTTACCAAGTAAAAAAATAAGGCTTCGTGTGACATTATAGATAACTGTTAGCTAAGCCCCCCCCCCTTAATTACTGTAGCTACCATTTAAAATTCTTGGTAATTTCTGAAACAGTGTATGGTTGATTTCAGACAAGAGCAGCCTTCTCATATTTAGTCTGTGACTGTTGTTTTAGCCAACAAATATTAAAACATTATCAGCTGTAGCTAGCTAACTATGCAAAGGTTATCTCCTCAAGCTCTTCAAATTTTTTATGTTTTGATAGGACTTGACTACGTACGTGATGTTGATCTCTGTTTATCTGCGCCTAACAAACTATTTGCTGACAGCTTCTCACCCTCAACCAGAGCTACAACAAGTACTTTCTGCCTCAACATTTTAGGAGCCAGCTACTAATTACTGAGGGAAAAAATGTAGATTGATTATGCAGGAAGGTTAGTGTAAGGACATGATGGGGTGGTTGGTCTATACAGGCAGGGCTGTTTCAAGACACTCTGGGAGCCCTAGGCAAGAGGCACCTTGGAGCCAACCCCCCCCCCCCCCCAGATACCAGTGAAAGTACAATACCAGTGAAAGTATCAAGGTTCTGAGTAGTATCACGATACCACAGCAAAAATGAGGCAGATGTGCCTTTTGTCATTTATGAAAAGATAAATCACTTTTCTATAATACATCAATGATATTTCAATGGAATAAATTACTTATAGACTTATTCATACTTCAAAAACAGCATCAATAAGTGATTAACAGGGGGGATCAAAACATAATAAATAAATAAAATAAAAATCAACCAGCCACCCTCCTCCCCTGACAAGTAAAGAACAGTCCCTTCATAAGTAAAGAACAGTCCCTAAAGTGGGGTGAGGTTTGTGGACCGTTACCTGCCACAATGAGAGAAATGTGAACGGCTCGTTTCTCCTCTGACACATCACACCTGTGTGCCGCCACGGCTCAGCTGTCCAGGTATTTCTGGGCAGTCATGACACCAACAAAGAGGAAATTATTGGACCTGGAGCCGGACTTCCCCGTCGCCGGTAAGCCGTTATCTTGCAGCGTATTTGACAGGAATACGGCGTCTGTGACCCCTGTTCAACCCACAACTGGTAGGATTCACCTTTTGTTTCTGCTGCTGGTTGAAAGCTGTACTTGCATAGCGTGCTGAATGATTTGTTTTGCTTGCACAAGAGGGTGAGTGTCTGTACCGTGAGGTACCGTAGTACTACGGTACTCCAGTACTCCAATAATGCTAGCGCGGGTGGCAACCAATCATGCGGGACATGGTCTCAATTTGCATGACACGTGAAAAGAGACAGAAATGCTGTGCAGTCCCACACAGTGTGGGACGTCTGGTCACCCTACTTAGCCACTCGCAAGCAGCAACTAGTAGGGGCCCCATTAGGGGGGATTCCAATGTGTTGTCATTGTTGTAGTGTCTATAGGGGTTCCATCATATTGTCATTGATATGGACCAATGTCAGCTCGGGGCCCTAGGCAATTGCCTAGTTTGCCTGTCCGGTTGTGATGGCCCTGTGTACAGGGACTTGAGCCAGCATCCCCCCAGTTCCCAAGTCAAGTCCCAATGGATCCAGCTACTGCCGCCCCCCCAAGATGCGTATAGTCATAGCCAGACAAGCTGTTTTTTTTTACATGCAACATTTTACATACCGAGAATCACTCTCACTACAGCACCACTGCACTACTTACATGATAGGGCAGTGTCCAGTTACAGCTGATGATATGATTAGACTATCACTGTTCAGAGGAGGGGTTTAGCAAACACTCAGCTGTTATGTTTAATGTCCACAGCAGCTTGTAAAAAGCCTTTTTTGATGTCACCTAGTTGTGTCAGTAGCAGTTGTGTAATGTCACACTTTGGCTTTACCACACTTCTTTTTTTTTATTTTTAGAAGTCACAAAGTAAAATGTAAACAAAAAAAATGTGGAGCTGCAGGAAATACTTGGTGCTAGAGGCCACACAGGCTCCAAACATTTTGGGTCAGGTATTGGCAGGCCCAGTGCCTTATCTACTTGAATATTGGATCATCTGATACTCTTAGTTTTATTAACCACTTGATTTAAATATGAGTCAAATTCAGCATTTTTAGAAGAGGCTACATGTTTTTTGAAGTGAATGTGAAATTATTCAAAAATGGAGGGACTGTCGAAGTCAGTGTCATATCACATTAGGTTTAATATACTGTGTAGTAAAGAAGTAGCTTTACTGTATATATAGTATTTTGTACCTTTGCAACTGTGGTTTGTCGTCTAGGAAACTGAGTCTGTTACTGACACTCTTTTGTTCTCTCTGTCTGCTCGTTCTTGCGTTCACAATCATTGTTAGCACTGACATGTTTAATTACAGGCTGCAGTTTAGAGTCTTTTCAGCAGGAATTGAAAAGCAGTTCATCATGTCCTCTTGTATTTCTTTACACTTTCTAACCTAAAAGTAACATTATCAATAGAAAAGCTTTTTGCTATATTGAGCAAAAAATCAATTCGTTAAGGAGAAAATAGCGGGGGAAATCGATGTTTTCCTTTTGTGAAATACTGAACACTGAGACAAGGTGCCATAGATCATCCCATGAATAGAGTTGCAGAAGCAGCACTGCAGCGTTAAAGAAACATTTCTTTGCTGGAGGTGCGAAACGTTAAGCTCTGCAGTTGTGGTTTTGTGTATATATTTAATTTCACATGTTGCAAAACCTTTCAATTGATGCAACACAGGAGCCCAGATGCAGTTGGAGTGTAGTTACATCTCACATCGCTGGGATCATGCAGGTATATTTTACTTTTAATGACTATTAAAAGTAAAATATACCTGCCTTGTCTACAAATGTTATGTATACATGTAGTGGGATAAGGGATAGTGCACCCAAAAATGAAAATTCAGCCATTATCTACTCACCTTCATGCCAAGGGAGGCTCAGGTGAAGCTTTAGAGTCCTCACAACACTTGCGGAGATCCAAGGGGAGAGTAGGTAGCAACACAACTCCACCTAATGGAGGCTGATGGCGCCCCAGATTCAAATGTCCAAAAACACATAATTGAAACCATAAAATATCTCCATACTGCTCGTCTGTAGTGATCCAAGTGTCCTGAAGCCTGACATAAAAATTGTTTGGAAAAACATCATTTGAACTCTGTTTTTAGCCTCATTGTAGCCTGTAGCTCTAACTGCCTCTCTGGAGATATTTTGTGGTTTCAATTATGTGTTTTTGGATGTTTGAATCTGGGGCACCATCAGCCTCCATTGTGTTGCTACCCCCTCTCCCCTTGGATCTCCGCAAGTGTTGTGAGGACTGTAAAACTTCACCTGAGCCTCCCTCGGCATGAGGGTGAGTAGATAATGGCTGAATTTTCATTTTTGGGTGCACTATCCCTTTAAATTATCTTCAAGGTTTACAGGAAGGTGCTCAGAACATCAACTTTAAGTAATGTACCTATGCTGCCTTACATTCATTTAAAATTCTCAGGATTCAGTCAATCACACGATGTGCCTTTCCCTCCTTGGTTACCGTAACTAGGTGCAAAGCAATGAACTGCAAGTTCTACATGCACACCTGTTCGATTTCATTATTTAGAGATAATTGAGAAGACGTCAATGCTTGACACACCGGCCACGCCCAGTTACAGTTGCTAAACTGACTGGACAATCAGGGGAGAGTGGTAACAAAGGGTTAATCTTATTTGTAATGGGCTGATGCGTTCACACTCCACTAAACATCCTCCCACACTGAAACACAGTTGATGTTTGACTGCAGGGATACAAGCCTTTAACTTTCTCTTCTTTACTTTCTCTGATTTTAAAGATTATGTTGGTTTCCAAGCACAAAACCAAGACTGTAGCCAAGTGGCTAATAAAGCTACTAAAAACACCAGAAAAAAGCAACCAGTTGGCTAACCACAATCTCTTAACAAAATCCCACTGTAAGCTTCATTTCAATGAGCTGTTAATACGCTGTACGACAGTTAAATGTTTTGGAGAAAATGTTACTCTTGTATTAATCAGTGATGTGTTTTGACATATGGATATTTATATACTGTGCTTTACACTACAAAATAAAACCTGTGGGAAAAAATTGCAAGTGCTTATGTAATTATGTACTTATGCTCATGTAAATGCGTTTTTCACAAATGTCAAATGATGCATGCAGGAAAGAAAGAAGAAAGAAAGAAAGAAAGATAGATGTGGTTATATATATATATATATATATATATATATATATTGGGAGAAATGGAATTTTCTTTAGCTAAAATCCTGTTTTCGTTACCTTAGAATGAACCATTCATATCTACATAGGGAGTGGGGTCCTCACTGACTAAGATTACCATGTTGCATTGCTGTGTGATGTCTCTACAGTAGCTCAGAAGGGACAAACCAAACACTGGCTCTAGATAGGGCCATTCGCATTTTTGGATTGGCTACCATAGTTGGAAAAACAGTTTTTCAACATGAAGCCAGTTTATTCAGTGTTTTTTCCCATCTTAAATCAATGGGCACATTTATTTTTGGGAGGAAGAGACCTCATTGGCTCCTGGTAAAAACCTCGTGAATGCCTGGGTCACGACTGAGGGTAGAATGGAGTGTGAGATGGATCGGCAGTTTGGTGTGGCTTCTGCAGTGATGCGGGCACAGTAAAATCATGGTGAAGAGGGAGCTGAGCCAGAAGGCAGAGCTTTCGATTTATTGGTCCATGTACAACCCAACCCTCACCTGTCGTCATGAGCTCTGGGCAGTGACCGAAAGAATGAGATCATGGATACAAGCGACCGAAATGAGTTTCCTCTGTGGGTTGGCTGGGTTCAGCCGTTCAGCTCGGAGTAGAGCCGCTGCTCCTTCGCATCGAAAGGGGTCAGTTGAGGTGGTTCGGGCATCTGATCAGTGATGCCTCCTGGGCGCCTCCCACTGGAGGTGTGATAAAGTTTTAATCACGTGGTACGTTTGTTAGAGGAAGAAACCTCTGCAGATAATTCGGCTCCCAGTAAAAAACTTCCTGATCAATAAACACTGAAGGAAATCTAACCAGGAAAACTTTTCAGTTGGATGCAATTTGCACTCTTCACCACAAGATGTCACTAAATCCCTCTATATGTTTCACACTGGACCTTTAAAATAAACATTTCCAACAGAAAAGACAGTATGCTTTTCAAACTCTGCAGCTTTAAGCTGACAAGTTTAGGAGGGAAATTAAACTTAACATTGATTTGTAGAAAGCTGATTTCGTGAAACTAAAGGTTTAATACATCACTCACAATCATACAGAAGTACATACAACTGGATGCTAAAACTTGTTTGGATGGAGGGTCAGGGTTGTCAAGGGGTGTACAGAGAATGCAATGGTTTCAAAATTTGTTCCCAATAAAGAATAACATGCCAAATCATATCTACAATACAGAATAACAGCAGTGCCTCACCTTCACAATGTGTTCAGTCATAGAGGAAAGCTTCCAATTAATAATTCATTTCCCCCCATGATTATTCTCTAATGACTAAGAAGAACAATTAGTCTTAATAGTCTGCCAGTACAGAATAACCAGTACGTCGCTTCTGCAGACTCCAACCATCCAGTTCAGTGTATGTAAAGTCAATTCCCTGTTGAGGCTGAGAAATCAGTAATCGACAGGCGGCAGCGTCACCATCTGGGTGAACTCCTCATAGTTGATGGTCCCGTTTGACTTGACGTTTGCCTCTTTGAAGAGTTCATCCACTAGACAAAGAAGAAGACAGAGAAAACAGCTTTGTGAGTGGAACTGACCAAAGAGAGCGCTGCCTGAAAACTCATTTGTCTCCCACGATTATCAGAGCTTGAGAGTCTCTGCTGCTCTTTGCCTGAGGGAGATTTTGACTGGATGACAACTCCTTCACAGAGTAGAGCTGCCAGCAGCCATAATCTGAGTGTGTTTGCTATTCCTATCAAGAAAACTGATATGTTTCACCCCATCATCGAGGATTTCTACTCAATTTAAAACTCACAAATGTTTCTAATACTGTGATTCAGTTATTTAACAGGAACAACTTTTTTCAAAAACCACCAGAGAACCAAAAGTTTATCTTATACAAAGTATTAGTATTATTACTGTTGTTATTTTAAGATGTTTAACAGTAGTGGAACTACACAGAGAGTTCAAACCTGGGGTGGGACTTCAAAACCTTCTGTGTGGAGTCTCCCCGTCAGTGAGAGCCGTCGAGAGTACTCCAGCCTCCTCCCACAGTTCAAAGACGTGCAGGTTAGATTCATTGGTTGTCTATCTCTATGTGTCAGCCCCTGTGATAGTCTGGGTGTACCCCACCTCTCGCCCAATGTCAGCTGGGATAGGCTCCAGCCCCCCCGCGACCCCCAACAGGATAAGCAGTTACAGAACATGAATGAATGCCAATAGTAGTGGTGTTTGCATTTTATGCTACTTTATACTTCTCCTGCACTTCCACTACAACTGTTTGCCAGCTGTTGTTACTGGTTACTCCAGAGGAACACATTATTTTGCTTTAGAAGTATTTTTACTTTTGATACCTTGAGTACATTTTGTTATTGGTAGTGTGCTTTTTGTTGCCTCTGATTTTAAACCTTTAATGCAGGATGTTAAATTGCCACTTAAGTGAAACAACAGTAAACAGCTATCATAGGGCTGTGTAACATTCAAATTATTATGATATCAGTACCAATACCAGCGTTAAAGTAATTCCAACAGAGTATTTCATACCTTTATTTTTACTTAATGTACATACATAGTGTGAATTGAAGAATTCCACCACTGATCCTCCTGATCCAGATGATTTTACATGAATACATTTAGCAGTGTTAAAGTGTTAAAAGTTTTAAAATATCTATGAAATAATTGTACAAGCAACTCTGTCAAATACACTGTGCTAAACTTCACATCACAAAACTTCACCACAACACAAAACTTTACACACTCTCCCATGATGGTGAACTAAAACCCTTTGGTGTGAGTATGAATCAAGACATTAGATGACATCATTTTGGGGTTTTGGAGACACAGACCGCCATTTTTCAACATTTTCACACATTTTTCGATAAAATGATCAGTCGACTAATCGAAGAAATAATCGACAGATTAGTCGACAATGAAAATAATCGTTAGTTGCAGCACTAATACCGTGGTATAAAAACTGACGGTTATCATCTTGTGTGTGCGCATGCTTTTCCTTTATACCTGGAATGTCTGTCAGATGTTCGCCAAGGACAAAAGGGTTTTAAGATTTCAACTGTTACAAAGCATTTGTTCAATCAAAAATGTACGTTTTCATTCCTCTAACGATCATTGAAGCCGATAAAAATAATAATATTTGTGTGATATTGTATACGATGATATCATGATATTTTCTGAGACAGTCATTGTAAGTTAGACGACACATATTATATCCTATAAATGCTCTGGCATCTAAATCAGGCACCAAAAATCTCCTGAATACTCAAACTGGTGTGTTGCAGCAGCAACAGTGACCACAGTCGCTCACAGTCACTACAGTTAGGAACTAAACAGTATAGTGAGATCTTTATCTGCCTTAATAGTCCGGCAGTCCAACAACTTGATAGATGTCTCCCCACTAAGAAGCAGCTGAGCCTTATTTGAATATAAACTGCTTTATGTGCACAGCAGCACCCATCCAGAGGCAGCACATTGACAGTCTTTGAATTAAATCTTTATGTTGCTTTGAAGCTACTAACTGAAATAATGAGGGGGCTCAGGCTTTGAAAAACAAATGAGATAAAAATTAAGCTCAGACATTTAACGGGATATCAGCGTCTCTGAGTCTTTGCTTCAAAAGTGTTGGACAATCCAGTTTAAAACTTTGGCTTGACTTTGCATATGAAGTGAAACATGAATGTTAATAGTTTTAAGTTGCTGTAAAAATCCCAAACTGGGACAAACTGTGAGAGTGAGCTAAAACACGAAACAAAGTTTGACTGCAGAGTAACAAATGCAGAGCATATTTTCATGTTAGCATACAACTTTCCACAACCTGCAGTTTTCTATATCTGTATTCAGGAGGATACCCCTGAAAAAACAACCAGGCACGCAGCAGAAAATAACAGTGAGGGTAAGTTTGTCAGAAATGTGAGTAAACATCAGGACGAAAGCTGCGTTGCACACACAGGTTATAGGACAGCTACGAATGGGGCAAGACTGGAGTGGATTTATGGAAGCAGCTTGCAGTTCCCAGGGGAGATACTGAGCTGAAGCCAGCCTCGCTGCAGTCAGAGTTACAGTGGATTCTTGTCTTTGTGGAGCTTACAGCGCCACAGGAGGGTGTAGTAAATGTGACACATGAAAGGAAAATTCTCTTTGTGAACAGGAGGGGGAGAGCAGCAGAGGCAGGCCAGGAGAGAAGCCATTCTTCTGACAGAAATATTTATTGATTTGTCATTTCATGGCTACAGTCTTCTTATATAAATTCCATATCCCCCCAAATCCCTAACTCCTCTTTACAATTCCCAGTTCTTACCCCTAAAAGTCTGACATTCACTGCAGTCATTAAGTGTTAGGACAGAGATTGTCTTATTCATGTTTTGGCTCTCCTTCAACACACTAAATTTTGAATCTCAGTGACTCTGACTTTAAAGGGAAACATTTGTATTTTTTCAGCCTGGTCCCTTTTCCCCATGTTTGTGTATCTAAAGCCTCATTTCCACCAAACACCTTTGGTGTGGTACCTTTGGAACCAAAACTAACCTTCAGATATGGTACCTAGACCCTAGCATTTCCACTGCAAACAGTACCCTTAAATGTGGGCGGGGTTGTTGTCACTCACTGCTCCATCCAGCACTCACTGTATCTCCTCCTTTATCAGTCTACACCTTGTTTATCGTCCACAGAACAAGGCTGCACGCCAGCATTTTCAGAGCAAAATAAAACAGGCTGCAGTGAGAGTCTCTCTCCATGGGATATTTCAAAACAGCAGGTTTGTGCATTTAGTCCTTCTCAGGCAAGCTCGGAGGTTTAGTGTTGCTGGAGCCCACAGGAACAACGCTCCGGGACACTTTTTTTACTCCGAGTGATGATTATAATATATGCAGTTCACACAGTCCGGTCGAAATTAATAAATATATATATAAACGCTTGAAGATCCACTCATTACTAAAACTGTCAACTCATGCACTGGAGTAACATTACAGGTTAACGTTCGACTTTAAAAGTCACCGGCAGTCGGCCCAATGAATTAAGTTATTTTTCCTCAGACTCCAGCTGCTGTGAGAGGCAGCAAAACATGCTTTCATTTTATAGTTACAGTTTACTAATAAAACTCTCCACAGTATGAACAATGATTACATGAGAAACAAAAACAGACAAAACTCAGCCCTGAGCAGAGTGACAATACTCTATTGACCAATCAACAGACTGCAGTGTTCACAGCTCCACCTTTTAGTACCAGATCTGTGTGCTAGGTACCCCAACAGAGAGGGGACCAAAAATGGGGACGGTACGGAACTGTTCCATTGGTACCATCCACAACTTTTCACAGTGGAAACGGGAAAAACAACGAACTGAACCAAAACATAGTAGCTCAGTGGAAACGGGGCTTCAGACACAAAAACATTTTAAAAGGGGGTCCAGGTTGAAAAATGCATTAGTTACCTTTTAAGTTTAAGGGTACTGGGGGTGTTCATATTGGATGAACAGCCAGGAACTCTTGGCACTTTTTACTAAGAAAAGGTACTACATATTTAACACAGCCTCATAGTTGATTTCAATTCCAGTGTGTGTATAGAGTGTGTCAGTAAACCCGGAACTCCATTAGCGCTTTTAGCACTTCCGGTTCTCTCGTCTAAAAGTCAATACGTTTTTGAATGGGATTTTGGTAAAATGCCTCAAATAAGGTCTGTGGTTAACAAAAGCTTAAGCGAGTTTCAGGTTTTGTTCTACGACATAAAACACGTCAGTAAATACCCTACTTGTGAATTTTGAAGCTTTTCTGTGTCGTAAAAAAGGCGGTTGCTAACAAGTTGCTCAATACGACTACAAACCCTGTCGGGGACATTAAACGTCATCACTCCCGAACAGGCGAGAGTGCTGGCAGTCCACCATTACAGCTTCTTATTTAGCTTAAACAGTCCGATTTCCCCATTATACAATGTTTTTAAAATAAAGCGGCCGAAATCAGTTGAAAGCTTAGTGGCGGTGACGTCAGGAGTCATGCAACTGTGGAGTAGTCATGTAGTCCGTTAAAGCCTAACGTTAGCTTTTTACTTCTGGCGATCGCATTTAAGCTTCAAATGTGGTATGAAAGGTGTTCATATGTGAAGATTATCTCGCTGAACAAAACCTGTAAGTACCATAAACTTGTGTTAGCCACAGAGCTTATTTTTTGACATAATCCAAAACGCAATGCAAAAATCACATTCACTTTCTCTTCCAGGAACCAGCACGATGCTAAACTTCCGGGTTTTGACATCAGCCCTGGCACACTCTATTACAGAGCCAAATAAACTGTCCAAACATACGGACTGGACTACACTATAACTTTGCCCCATACATCCATGTGCTCACTGTGGATTGTAGTGAAAGTAGCCTCAGTATCAACGCAGCACCTTAGTAGCTTCCTCTAGTCTTTTCATCTTGAGGTTTCTCACTGATTAGAATTTACTTACCTTCTTTGTCTGTGAGTTTCTCCCCCAACTTGGTGAGCTTGGCCCGCAGCTCAGACGCCTGGATGTAGCCTTTCTTCTGTTTGTCTGTCATCCTCAGTGCCTCCAGGATTTCTGCCTTGGGGTCTTCCTGTTGCATCTGTCTGTGCATCATCGTCAGAAATGTGGAGAAGTCCAGCTCGCCTGTCTTTTCTAAATGTGAATGTAACAAAAAACATTATGTCTGTGTCAAAAAATCATAAAGCATAGTTACATAATGCATCAAAACTGACTGTAAGGGCCAGCAGGGGACAGAAATATTGGGATTGTCAATATAATTCCTTCTTTTTCTTCCTAAGGCTTTTCTCTTTTTTTCCATTTAAGATTTGGAGTCAAGGGTCTAACGATAGGGGGTATCATACTGTATGTTGTACACTGTTGATATTTTGTAATTTTAAAAGCAAAGCAGTAGGCTTCATCAGTGTTAATATGCCACTTGAGCTCGGTCTCATCGAAGTCGTAGTCATCGAAATCCGGCACTTGGGCATTGACTTGCAGTGTCAGAAACCAACGAAAAAGGTGTCCTTTAACGTTGGCATGATACGCGGCCGGTTGCTGTTATAGTTTAACAGTGCCCGGGAAACGTAGTGGTACAAGGACGAAAGTTAAGCTGGCAAAAGTCCAACTGGTGCCAGTAGGAGGGATGGATCCAACAAACACCGACCGTCACCCCAGAGAGCGGTGTTCACCTCCCATAAGATTATGAAGCCAAACCCTGTTCTTATTACCTAAACCTACCCACATGTTTATTGTTGAAAGAAAAAGGATCTCAATTCACAGTGTTGTACTGATGAGTGTGTTTATTTTGAAAGAGACTGTATATAAACTGTAAATTTCCTGTGAAAACTGAGATGTATTTTGAAAGAAGACAATGCATGTAACAGGCAGAACTTGACACAGTGTCCCAGAACGTCAGCAACCAACACACCCAGGGTACCTTTAATGTCGTATGTGGACGTGGAAAGTCCATGACCAAACGTCGATATGTGACACGGTTGAAGTGAGAATGTGTTGGCCACTTGATAATTACTTTTATTTTATTTTTTTAATTTTTATTATTGTTTTATAAAAGCCTTGAACTCAAGATTTGCAATAACAAACTAACAATAATGCATATAAAGAAAGAAATAACTGTATATATAAAACAATAACGATAAAGGATTTCTGTGAGCACCACCCATAATAACCACACTCAAACAGTTAAACAGTTAAAAGCAAATTACACTTCAAAGTTTTAGCTTAAGACCTGTGTCACCTTGAACAAATTTTTGCAATCTTGACTGGCCCCTCAAACTAATTAGATTCACTGTATGTACTCAACCGATTTTGTGAACTTGTAGATGTCTCTCAATTTCCCCAAACGTGGGGCTTGTTCCCAGGCAGCGCATTACTGTGATCAGATTGTTGGCAGCAATCTTGCCCTTTTGCTTCTTGTCATACAGAGAGAAGCACTCCTTGTATTCTGCCAAGGAAATGGAAAAAGTAATGGATTACATCAGCATAGTTCATTTCACTGCATTATTTAATAAGGGACATTTTCAGTACAGCAGGTTTACTTAGAGAAACACCAGCATTACTTCACAAGTGCTACTAAGACTGAACAAGGACAGACTTTGATCCATATGTGATTCCTCATGTGTTTTTCAACACGTATTAGTTATTAAAAGATAAATGTTGAGAACTTAATGGAAATAAACAGATAGTACAAGTCAAATATATTAGATAATAGTAATAGAAAAGTGTAGTGTAAAACTCTTACCATTGATTTGAACTGGTGTGAAGAATTTAGCCTGCAGGGTGAAAACAGAACAACATCACTCGTCAGGTAAGATACAAATATTTCTGTTACAAAAGAAAAATACATGAAAAGTTTTATTGGATTTCTCGCTCACCATTGTTGCAGTCACTTTGTTTCTCTCCAGGAAGAAGACAGTTTCCTGTGGTGTGTGTCACCTGTCCTTCCACCTCCGTTTAAAGTCCACCACCTGTAAGCCTTGACGTAATTTAATATGTGTTGCTGTGGTAACGCTGATACCAGATCCACAGTGCTGCTTTGTCCTTTCCCTTTCCACCTCACCACTCTGATACAAGGAAGGGACCAATTATCACCAGACACCATATCATACTACAGTGTCTTATCATATATTGAAGTACTTTGTAATCACATAAAAAGCATATACATTTGTTGTCATGAATAAAACACATAAAGGCTCTTTGTAGATGATTCGGTGATTTAAAGCACATTCAGGATCAAATAAGGTTAGTTAAGAAAAAAATTTGAGGAACTAGAAAAGTGCACGCAGCAGAGAGCAGATCTCCACCAGGCAGCCAATTTTGAGCATAGATGTATAATAATAACTCAACATGGGACCCCAAGCCCCCAAGCCAAACAAAGGTTTCTAGCTTCCATGGTACGCGGCCCACTGAATATGCACAGTAGCGTTTCCCCCGTTGGCACCGCCCGCTAGTTCCCACTCAGCTCATAGACTTTACACTGTGATGACATCAGATTTTGGAATTGTTTTTCTTGACTTGACAACAGTTTTACAAATATAAAACCTTCATAGATCAAAATTCATAACAGGAAGAGTCATAAGACCTTGACTGCGGCTCGAGATGTCCTGTCAACTGTTGTACAGACGTCCCTTTCATAATGGTGGTCTATGGGGAACATGTGTTTTGGACAGCAGGGGATTATTTCGCTGCAATACTGCAAGTGGCTACTGGAAAAAATTGAAAGTAGTTGGGGGGTCATGGTGTTGTGCTGGCCGAGAGTGATTGTGGCCTCTCTAAATCATGCATGCAGCGGAGCTGCACCCAGTGGAATTGTGCCTTCTGGTTCCCTTATAGTCAAGATGGCGGCGAAGATGACAAAATGGGAAATATTAAGTGAATCATGACATATTGGGTATGGAATTAATTTAGAGATTCTCTTGTTTAAAATGAGACCAGTCTGATATATATATTTAGAACATGGCACTCTTAAATACTTGATTCTGATTGATTAATCAACAAAATTCTGCAGTGTTTATTTCTTGAGGTATCACCGCTGCTCTGCTGCTCCGTTGCTAGGGACGCCATAGCAACGGCCTTAGACTAAGGAGCATCAAAATCAGTTAACTTTAGTCCACACAGGCCAAATAGGATCGGAGTGGCATTTCTTTTTGTGAATTTTGAATCAATAAAACGTGCTTTAATCATTATTTTGTGTCACATCACTGAATGTTTTAGTAGTAAGCCATGTTCTAAGCGGGATAATGCGCGTCGGGGTTCCATTCCCCTGTCGGGAGTTATTTTTCAACTGTCACTGGCTCACTATACATTATCCCTTACATGTCAGTTTGGAGGGGCGGCACAGTGGTTAGCACTGTCGCCTCACAGCAAGAGGGTTGCCAGTTTGATCCCGGGTGTGGGAGCCCTTCTGTGCAGAGTTTGCATGTTCTCCCCGTGTCAGCGTGGGTTCTCTCCGGGCACTCTGGCTTCCTCCCACAGTCCAAAGACATGCAGATTGGGGACTAGGTTAATTGGTGACTCTAAATTGTCCATAGGTGTGAATGAGAGTGTGAATGGTTGTCTGTCTCTATGTGTCAGCCCTGCGATAGTCTGGCGACCTGTCCAGGGTGTACTCTGCCTCACCCGATGTCAGCTGGGATAGGCTCCAGCCCCCCCGCGACCCTCAAGAGGATGAAGCAGTTAGAAAATGAATGAATGAATGAATGTCAGTTTGGAGCCACGACAAGCCAAAATGTGTCATGTAACAGCCTCGGTGAGGCTTATCTTGAGCTGAGACCATTACTGAACATGCCTTTTTTCTTTATGCTTTTACTGTGTGATTGTGTTGATGACTTGCAGCCCTTACTGGCCAGTTAAAAGAAATGAGAAGTCAGCAGTCATTGACGGTGTTAAACAGCCTGAATCACCGTAACCACAAGATGTCCTTGAGCACACAATTATCAATGTGCACACAAAGTATTAGGCTGATTGGTCCAGTAGTGTGTGAGATTAGCTTTGGACCATTCTCGGAAACCATCGGCTGTATTCGGCGTCTGACTTCCGGCAGACCGCAATACAGCCTCTGGGGGCAGACCCCAGATTTTTTGGCATTCTGGTTTGATTTGGGCGGAGGAGGCGGATTTCCGTTTCCAACTTCCATTGATATATAAGTAAATATGCTGAACCACTGCAATGGATTCAGAGTTTGCAGTGACGCCAATTATGTTCCGCCTCGTTAGTTCACCACACAGACTGTTTAACCTGGCAACAACTGCAGCCGGCTCAAACGTGATTGGTCAATATCACGTGGACTACAAACAGCCTACAACCGGAAACCAGGGCTCTTCCGCTCTTCTTCCGGAGGCAAGATCTCCGGGGTTTGCCTACAGACCCTACATTCACTGAATGTAGAGTCTGTATATAGAGACTAGCTTTGGACAAACAGATACACACACTCACACACAACCAAATGCCTGATGGCCTGGTGGACCTAATAAGAACCATCAAGTAGAAGGTAATTTTCAACATTTTATTTAAGACAAATGTACGTAAAATCTAGGCAGTGAGGAACCAGTAACTGAACAGTATTTTACCAGCAACAAAGTGATCTTAAGCAAAGGAACAGCAACAGTAATTACAATTACAATTTTACAAGAGCAAGTCAACATGTCAAAAACAAATCAGCAACAATTCATCAGTTAAATTCTGTTTTCATAAAAATAACTTCATTTGGATCACAAAAGTAATCCACTCATGCTTCCTTGTCCTTCTTACAATAGCTTCTTTTCATTGGAACACTTCTATGGTTCATTACTTAAACACATCATATAAAAAATAATACAATAAAAACAGGATGATGTCAGGCAGTGCATGTTGGTGACAGGGCTGGATTATAACAGTACTTTGACCACATATGGAAACACAGTTAACAGCTCTCATTTCTAAGAGAATGGCGACATACATCACCAAAATCTGTCAAAATGTGAAACCAATACCTGAGAGAATTTATTCTTCTTATTTTTTTCTCTATACATTCCCTCCTGATGGATGCAGTAATGACTACAAATGATCAAGACATCCAGGAAAAGACTGCAAAACCCATGGTAAGCATGCAGGGCAGTCAGATCAATGGCTGCTGCCCAGGTGAAACAGATAAGCTGATTGTTCTGGTGAAGGAGCTAAAAGATAAACAGTGACGGGACAGACAATGCCTGATGTGTAACGGAATTAGACTTTTAATTTAAATATCTGTTTGTTTGTTTGTTTGTTTGTTTGTTTACTGTTTGTCTGCAAGAATTAAGGTGACCTGTTATAGGATGATACTGAATTCAAACTGTCTTCATTCCCTGCACCCTCGCCTCCAAAGCTCCATGAGAAAAGCTCCCGACCTCTCAAGACATCACAACTTGTACTGTGTATAGTAGCTGTAACTGGTGGTCATATATTTAACAAACAGACAATTGTTAAAGATCAGTCTCACGGCATTCACTCCTCAACTGATCTTCAATGAGCTTAAACAAGGTAAGATTTTTCTCTAATTATTTCAACGAATGTACCATACATGTATTCACCTTTACTTTGTTCATAGCAGGTCAGTGTTGTCATTGACTTGTCTGGTTTAAAGGGCAGTTCGTAAACTTTTTTTTACTACCAAAGGGTGCCAACAGTTGACCTTGCTCTGTGTTCACAAGTTTACCAAAGTTACAAAAGGAGCAGAACTGCCAAAGGGGGCCTGAAGGCCTTACGTTTTCTGAGTGAAGATTAGTTTGTGGTAATTTAATTAATTACAAATTGTCTCACATTATGCTCCAGCGAAGCCCAATTTAAAACTAAATGTTAAAGGGCTCCAGAGCAGCTTCTGCATGTTCACCTGCCGTAAACAAGGGCTTTGTAATTTTCTTGACATTTCACTCACAATATGCCTATCCTTAAACAAATCTGTGTTTAATTAAATTATTGCAGACATACTGATGTACAACAAACCTGCGGCATGTTTGTATTGTTCTGGTTTCAGTGTAACACCTTCAATGAAACAAAACAGACACATTCCTATTAGAGCAAATTAAAAAAAAGAAATAAATAAAATAAAACTTAATGAGTCTTAATATTAAATTTCAATTTCTGATTTTCCAACTCATTACAGCAAAAGTGTCTCATGTCACAAGATCCAAGCAGTGTTACAGGTCTGATTGCATGTGCAAATTCAGACCAACCAGCTCAATTCCAACCTGTTAAAGTCTTCGTGTGTCAATATAGAAATAAACAGAGGAGACAAATCCCCGTCTGAATATCTTGCTGTGCCAGCAGAACCTTGTGTTTAACAGTGAGGTTGGTGCACATCACCAGCCTTCATTGATCACTGTCACTGACTATGTTTACACGCACAAAATATTCTGTTTTTTGCCCTTATTCCGAAAAAGACAACATTCCTGCTTATCTGTTTATGTGACAAATGAATATGAATATTCACTGATATTTGTGTTTACATGCTGCTGTGCATACTCTGATTAACGTGCGCCAAACATGTTGTGTATCACGTTAAAATATGGAAAAGCAGAGCTGCTGTCTCTTGTCATTTTGCTTCTTTGAATCAAAACAGGATTTTTTTCAAAGTTTTCCACCAGTGGCAGATTTGTTTGACCTTTTTTCATTCCTTCAACCACCTTTTTGAAAAAGTTGGTATCACCATATTTACACACATCCAAAAACCTGTTGATATCTAAGACTTTCAGCATGTTTGAAAGAAGGGGTGTCTTCTTCTGATCAGAAATGTGAGCTTTTCTTTTGGGCATGCATCTCTAAACCAGCCTTGTAAAATATTGGTGAGCTGCTGTGAGTTCCAGTACCCACACTACCATACTGTATAGTATGCCAGAGAAAGATTTAGTAAGTCCCAATAGATAGCATTTTGCAGTACACAAGCCAGCGTGATTATCTTGATACTCTGACTCACAATCCTCTGCGCATCGGAAGATTCGTCACATCGACTGAGTCGCAAACGGATGACAGCTTGAGAGCTTGCCGACAGATGTCACAAACTGCAGTAAAACCCCAGCTGAGACACAAATTCTGGACGTGCTGTATACATGCCCAAAGAAAGCTATTAAAATCTGAATAATAATAGTATATCCCACGTAGAGTTGGGATCCGGTTCTTTTTTGGAACGGTTCCATCACATTTGGAGTAACGGTTCCTGCAAACGGTTCCTAGATTGTAAAAAAAAAACGTCACATGCATTTCCATTAGAGTGCGGCACGGGCCACATATTTCTGTCAGAACCCGACCGAGCCCGACATTATTTAATTACTAAAGCACTGAGTTTGTGTCACACAGTTGTCATGGTTACAGGCTATTTAACAGGCCAGGCCTGAACTGTGGGTGCTCAGTGGAGAGGCAGACCTCCATGTTTGAGACGGGAGTGGGCGGCAGGAGGTCCGAGGCTTCCAGCGAGGGGAGAGGGAGAAATATAACAAAATAAGATAAAACAGGAAAAACCTGTTTCCCTCTTTTATTTAATTTTTAGTGTTTAATCAAGGCGGAGGCGGGTGGCAGGAGGTCCGATGCTTCCAGCGAGGGGTTGTCACGTAAATAACAGTGCCCAAGCATGAATGCATATAAGTATTTTTTATTACATTGCTGTAGAAATCAGTTGTTATATATTCTCAGGGAGGTGATACAAGCTCTAAATCTGAAATACGCACCACACACAAATGTGTATTTTAGAATTAAGTTTTTGTATTTGTATGATTGCATTTGTGTTTATTATATACTTGTTTAAGTGTAGCAAGTATAATGAATATAATGTAGGAATCGGTAAGAGGAAACGGACCGTTAAGAAGGAATCGGTAAGGAATCGGAATCGTTAAAATCCTAACGAGACACTGCCTGTTTCTCCCGTTTTTTTTTTTTGTTTGTTTGTTTATTTGTTTTTCCTCCTTCTTCTCCGCATGCACTGTCACTATATAACTCAGGACTTAAGCACCTGCCCCCTCCCCCTTGCTTGTTTCCTTACTTTCCCCTTGACGCACTTTGGTGTATCACGGCCCTCTCTGACTCATATTAGGAAGTTTTTCCAATAAAGGCTGTTAGGCTAGTCTCCAGGGAGGGTGGGTGACGGTCACAACCACGCATTATGGGTATAAAATACTTGACTGCAAGATTAACAGTGCATAAATCTTCACAAGAAGCTTACACCCTTTAGTGGCGCTAAGCTATGAAGACCAATGCAGACAAGAAGGAAAAAAAAAAAAAAAAAAAAACCCTAACGAGTCCCAACCCTAATCCCACGTCCTAATCTGAAATTTCTTTATTCTGGATAAGGATGAATTAAAAATACCCAAAAAGAATATGTTTACATGACCCGTAATACTTTTGTAATAAAAGTGGAATATTAGTGAGCACATAAACATAGTCACTGTCCGAGTGTAGCCATGACCTGTTACACAAAAACTGCTGAAGAAAGAAACATATGCATCAGTCAGTTCACACTTACGTAAATGTCTTCTGATGTCACAGCACCTTCTTCAAACACAAGCATACAGACCTGAACAGATATATATCAGTGGTTGCTCTTGATGTGTAAGGTATAGTAGGACCAAGGTTCGGGCACATAAATGAGTCCGGGGTACTTGTTGCGTAGCACCGGGTCGTTCCACAGATAGGCCACCCACAGTGCCACCAGGAGCACAGTCACACTGAAACTACAGAACAGGAACAGGCCGTTGCTGTCTGGGCTGAGGCCTTTGCGCTGTTGGTGTAACACCATGACAACCATGGCAAGGAAGGTGAGGAGGAAAAGCTCAGTGATTTGTCCCTCAGTGACCAAGTACCTGGAAGATATTAAAGAAAAGGCAAGAGATGTCAAAACTTACTAACTGTACAATGAAGAGGTGTGAGTTTCAAACTTCTATACAATACCCTGAAAATATCGATATTCGATACCATCTGACACAACGGGGAAAACTGACATTGAGGGCATAAAATTTAAAATACTTTTTTTAAAGATAAATATTTTAACATGTTACAAAAGCAGAATGACTGTAGTTATCAGTTACAATAAGAGAGAACAAGAAAGTGCAGCTGGTCCCAATGTATCAATACTGCAGACAACGCGACAGTGAAGATGTTCAATTCATTACATCAGCACTTAAATTTCAAATAAAAACTAATCCTTTTCCAAAAAGCAATGTTTTTTGACGAGAGCAGCACTGATTTAAATTTCTGCACAAAGTGACGACTGAAATAAGAGAGCTTGTTTTCATCAAAGCCAAGTGGTGCAAACAGAAAATACAATTTCCAAAAGTTCCAGTCAGTAAATACGGCAACTTAAATAGGTTTTATCCATCTTTCTTTCTTTGTTTCTTTCTTTTGTTTTAGCGAACAATATACTCTGTTTATTGTCAATCATTCGACAAAAGGAGATGCTTTGTCTAAAAATGCTGCTGCGGTATCTAAGTATATCATATATATATATATGATATACCTTTTATTCACTCTTTTCTTCATCTCACTGAGTGTTGTTACTGTTCCTTTGCACATCGGCTTCCCTTCGCTATTTTTGAATTACAAAACTAAACTGAAATAATCACAGAGTACAAATCACTTCTTAAAGGACGAAAAGGTATCTGTGAAATGTGGATCTCTCTGTTCAAGTTATATCATTCACAGTACTGCAACGCTAGCCTTTGAAACCCTTCTGTACATGTTGTCCATGAATACATAGTTTTGTTAAAGATGTGAAAATGCGACTGACCAATAGTAGAGGGCGCTGGGTCCCAGCAACAGCCAACCAGAGACGGGAATCTTCTTCTGTTCTTTGGCCTTGGTGAAGCAGCCAGTGAAAAAGATGAACAGGACGATGAAGAAAGGAATGTACCTGGAATAAAACCAGAGGCAGAAACTGTACAGTAACCTGACCCCAGATAGACTCAAGTATTTCTTTGTACAGGGATGATGTAAAAAACAAACAAAAAAAACAATTTGGCAGGGCAACATTTGAGCCAAAAACATTTCACAAAACCTCTGACTGAAGAACAATTTATTTTCACTCTAAAGTTTATGAACTCAAGGTTTTGTTCAGAAAAGGTTGTGTTGATGTTTGTTTCTCAAATCGAACATCTAGGAAAATAATTAACAAATATTGTATCATAGCCGTAGGAAACCAGCTGGCAGGTTTTCATGTCAAACCACTGTTTAAAATCAGTGTGTGGAACTGAAGGTAACCACACCAACAGTGATTATACCAAACTCTTTGATACCAGCTGTAAAACAAAATAACCCCACAAGGGCTGAAATAATAAGTCAATTAATCAAACAAACAACTAAAAAATTAACTGTTTATTTTGATAATGAAATTACTGTTTCAAATTAAAATAAACATTTACTGACCCGATCCTCTCAATTCAATGTAATTCCTTTTTATCTTTTTTTTTTTTTTAATTGTCATTGCAAACAAATACAATGGAATTCAATGCACAGAATAAACTGGAATATTTTTATTATTTTATTTTTACTTTTAAGCTTGATAGACTAAATGATAAATTAGTTGCTCAATTAAAAAAAAAAAAATCATCAGATTAGTTGCTCGTGGGGAAAAAAACTAGCTAGCTGCAGCCCTAAACCCAACCACAGATTAAAAAAAACAACTTTAAATTAAAATAACAAATTAAACACAGCCTGTCTATTATTATTAAATTTAATAAGTGAACTTGGTATAAGAACAATAACACTGATAATAAATAATGCACTCATCAGAGATAACGAGGCTCCCTCCCTCCTCTAACACTGTGGTGCTGAAAACACTGTGACATGATGAGATGAGTTCATTTGCAATTACTTGTTTCATTAACTGTGTTATTCATTTCAATTTGCCAAACAATTTGTCAGTAAACCAATCGACTCAGAGACTCAAACTTGCTTTGTAGGGCCACCGAGGCCTGATGCACACAGCTGCTGCTTTTATACCAGTATCCTATAGACCACTGGTTTCAAACTGGTCCACCCATGGGGTCCAGATTTCTCCTTAATCATTAGTTCAAGGTCCACAGAGTTTAATACAGTCGGTGTCATACTTGCGTGTGGCCATGTCGACAAGCTAGTTTGCTGTCTCTGTCAAGTAGCTGTCTGTTAATCACTCACTCCACAGCAGGAAACCACACTTCAAAATAAAAGCTCTGTGCCGTTTTTACAAACATGACACATTTTCACGTCACTTGTGGTCCATTCAAAATGGAGCCATGACCACTTTTGGACCTTGACCCACCAGTTGGGAACCACTGCTTTAGAACGAGTCTGATGACTGTAAAATAACAGCACCTATCTTGGTTGCAATTAAGTAAAGAAAAACACATTTAAATCAATTTGTGTGTTCATATAAAAAAACAAAAGAATATCATTGGTGCAGTGGTGTTCAAGAGTTGAGGCGCCAACCATAAACCACATCATCCCCGCTTCATTTTTATTGCATGTCATTCCTCATGTCTCACTCCCCTCATTCCCTGTCATCACTCCACTATAGCCAACTAATGAAGGAATAAAATGCCTTTGTAAAATGTGTAATTAAGTGTTTTAAAAAAGATAATTTGGAGAGCATTTGTGCCTATATGAATAGTTGACAGTTGTGACAGTAAACGAGGGGAGACAAAGGGATATGACATCAACAACGGCCCCTGCACAGCATCAAACCAGGAACAATGTGGTCATATGGTGTGTGTCTTAAACAAGCCATCCTTATATACTTTTATTGATTTCAGAATTTAATATGTAGAAGTACCTCAACGCCCTGTACCATCTTAGATTTCTGAGAGCACCAATGTGTGAGAGGGTGAAAAGAGAATCATTGATCTATCTTGTTGCTGGAATTTATGGCAGTTTGTTTGCCCACACCCACATGAGGATCACCATACACTTAAACAGAGCAGTAGGCAAACTGAAACTCTGTCAACGCCACAGTGAATACGTAATAGCGGGTCGTTATCAGCCATAAAACTAAAGGCCAAAGGAGAAAGAGGGAGAGATACACAGCACCTCTTCATCTTACTGCTCATAATGAAGCCCCAATTCACCAAATTTTTAAATTATTCAAAGTAAATCCAGACAGATTTCTCCGAATCTGCCCTTCTTTTCCTGCATGTTGTCTGTAGGTCTGCCCCCAAAAGTTGAAAATTTGAATCAGTAGTCAGAGACCCCTCAGGCGACTAAGATTCTTTAAAATGGAACAGTCGAGTGACAGTCAAGAGTGAGCACTCTTGCTGCCAATCTACTCTCTGGTACAGGCATCTGCCAACCCAGACCCAGGGTGAATCTGAATGAGACGAAGGCAGCTGCCTGGAGGAAGAGAGGCTCCACCCAGGCAGGCTCCGAGATCACGTTATCTTCTGATTCCTGCTCAGAAGTGGTGAATAAACACCTCAAAGCAACTTAATACAAGTACATGCTAACAAATAATGTTGCACATTTCAGATCCCTCCTTTGCATAGTTAGCATGCATTAGCTCGGAAGGCTAACTTGACTCGTTTTCAACATTACTTTAACGTTGCTGTCACCCTGAATGTTCAGCCAAACTCCATTCAAACTCTCAAACCTCATATGGAAAAACAAAAAAAAGAACCATTAGCTGAATATACGTATTAAACAGCCAAATCCAATTCCACTGACATAACTGACTCGCTTACAGCCCCAGTTGTTGGTTTCAGTTTCCAGTCAGCACTCTCAGCTTCACACAGCTGGTGCATATTCTCACTACAGACCTGCTCAGTTTTCTCATCCTAAAATCTGTTTTGTATTTACAGATGGAATAAAGCCACAGATTCCAGCACACTAATAACTAGCTGCAGGTCTTATGGGCTCCACTGGGTTACAATTCTCTACATCTACACTTTCATTGGTTTGTTGCATCCAAAAGACACAACATTCATTAAAATCAGATTTAACATTCACATTTAAACAAAGAGGTTAACAAACTTTAGTTCATAGCAAAGCATTTGATCCTGTATTCTGCTACATTCCAGACATTTCTCAGCACTGTATGTGCACAGCAGTAATAATTATCAGTACATACCACATTAAGTGTCCCAGCTGTTCGTCATAATAATAGAGCAGCTCGAAGGAGTCGATCTGTGAAGGAAGGACAAAAAGAAATCAAATATAACTAGACACTAATTACAACAGTAACAAGTATGTTTTAATGGAACAATATACTGTGTGACTGAGAGCACTGGTGAAGAAGCACCGTGGTCCTCCACTATGTGTTGTGCAACAGTGCCCCCCACTGCTCAAGTGCCAATTACACTCCATTACAGCCTCTGAGAAGAAATCACATCTACAGTCTGTAGGTGGCAAATTAGGAATAAAAAAAAGTGGAGGAACATAAATGTAGATGCTTCCAAACAGGAGATGATGAGGACCTGCATGGTTTAAATATGAAATTAATGTGAATCATCTGATATGGCATTAAGTCACAAGATCTCAACCCAATTGAACATCTTTTTCATTTTAATTTTGTCAATTCACACAATTAAGGATGCATGATATTGGATTTTTTTTTTTGCCAATATCTGATATGCCGATATGTAACAACTCATTTGATTGTTAACCGATACCAATATCAATATATCCACTTTTTCCCTACCTACTTTTAGCGATCATCAAGTCTCTTCTGTAGTGGAATTAACATCATATTATGCACATATACTCTTATCATGATGGTCCACCAGCAGATGGAGACATGAAATACAATACTTTTGAAGGTATGTTATATTCATTCATTGTGCAAATTAAGAAAAAGCATGTTGGCTGATTCTAATATTTAATTTTAAAGCCAATATTAGCCGATACCTGACTTACCAATATCGTGCATCCCTACGCACTATCATGCAATTGGCAGATGAAATGTACCTCTGCACTTATCCCTCTTTTTAGACACACCACATATATGAATTAAATGAGGGGGGTTGAGCAGGGTCAGACATACTAAGGCGCCCTGGAGCAGTTTGAGGGTTCAGTGTCTTGCTCACTGGTACCTTGACAGTGCTCAGGAGGCAAGCGGGCATCTCTCGAGCTGCCTGTCCACACTTGGTCCACATGGGGACTTGAATCAAGGACCCTCTGGTTCCTAAGTTCCCACGGACTGAGCTACTGCTGCCTCAACCCGGTTAAACATCGCATTGACCAACTTACTAGACAGCATTCTCCACCACCATCATCCAAACAGGAGATGAGGAAATGTCTTATGCTTTGTTTTTTTCTTTTAACTTGTTGCCCACCCATGATTTAACACCAGACCGGTTGAACCTGGCAGAATGCATTGATCCACTCCTGGTTCATCTCATCTGCTTTTGCTTTACTTTGGCATTTAAATGACATTTAATCACTCACTAAACCCTCTTGACTTCATATTAGTGCATATTTTGCTGTTCTGTGTATTTCAAAAAGCAGTAACTTAAAAAAAAATCGTTGACATTTTTCTACATCTACGTGTTCTTTCAGTGTGAAAAGCTTTTGTGATAACAGAATAACAACACTTACATTTTTTCTCTGAAGTAAATCCTCATTAAGAGCTGAATGCGCTTATCAGTTAATTCCAACGCTCTACATTTAAATCAATCACCCTAAGGATCTCTTAACGCAGCTTTATAGTGTAGCATTAATCTGTTTACAGAACTTCTGTCGCGGTTGGGAGGTACTTGACTTGCTTATAATTAACTGAAAAACAATGCATTGCAAATAATCAGTGCTTTTCATGTGCATTAGTGCATGTGAAATCTGAAAGTATTATTAGTGTGCACGCTGCAGACATGCAGACTGTTTGAAGCTCTACAGCTCCATAAACAAATGCTTTTAAAAAAAAAGCAGATATTCAAACATTTAACAGTTGGTTTGAATTCACACAACCTACATAAACAGAAACATCAGCACTAAAAGTCCCATGTCATCACTTCTTCATGTTTTTATTTGATCTAGAAATACTCACAGATGGCAGCTGTGTTGTTTGATAGTAAAACATAATTTACAGTGTCTTAAAATTATACTTCAGTTTGTTTTTATATATGTTAAACAGAGCTTGGATCGTAAGTGTACCACTGAAATACACACAATAATAAATGTATTACACATACAAAAGGGGCACAATAGGATGCTTATTATTCCCTGACTGATTGTGATGGTGTCAGTGGGTTTGCATGTGCTTCCATTACACGTGTGCAGTTGCGTAACAAAGATACAGTGCAGGGATGAAAAGATTATTTCTTGTGGCTGCGCATCCTCGTATCAAAAACACAAGCACTGACTAAAACCTGACCTGAGACTAAAACGAGTCCAAATAAGTCAGTTTTCACAGGAAGTATTTTTTGTGTGAGTCCCTTTAGGCTTGATACCAATTAATTAGATAAAAGCTAGAGTCTGACGTCCTCTGGGAGGCTGTTCCAGAGACGAGGGCCAATGACACTGTACTTTTTAGTTCTACTCTGGGAGACATTTAATAGACCAGAGGTAAAGGATCTTAGGGATCTAGGGGGAATGTATTTGACCAACATAAATAGCCACGAGCCAGTCCATTAAGAGATTTAAAAACTGAAACCAAAAAAAAAAAACGAGCCTTTAAAAACTGGAGTAATGTGTTCACGATGTTTAGTCTTGGTGAGTAGACGCGCTGCTACATTTTGGATCGTCTGAAGTTTGTTTAAAGGAGCAATAAGCGAAATTCATCATTTCTAGATTGAAGGAATTAAAAAATCGCTATGTGAAGAACTAGAAGTGTAATTTCATCTGGAGTATAGCATGACCTCACACAACCTCTCTCTGTGTTGATCTCCAGCCCATTGTTTACAAGCCAGTCCGGCTGCGCGTTCATGTTCATGCCCCCCCCCCCCCAGATGTTGATATTGTGGTGGGCTTCAACAAATTAATTAATGTGTGGGAAACCCTCAAGATGTCATTTTTGTACCGTAACAAAACATATCTTACTTCCACTATATTCAAAGTGCCTTTATGAGTTTTGTTTAAATGTGTCTTTTTGTGTTCCTTTTATGTTCAATGCAGAGTGTGAAAAAGTCAAACACCTTTGTCAAAACCCTCAGAGATTAGGGTCAAATCAAGCCAGTACTTAAAAACTTCACTTAAATTATTTAACCTATACACTGTAATAGTCCTGCCTCCTTCTGTCCTGCCCCAGATATGCCATACACCAAACTATAATAAATATCTTGTTGACAGTCACATCATTGTCAGAGTTACGATGCTCCACGCTAAGTACGGGATTCAGGATGACACAAAAAGATGTGATAGCGATGACAAAAGAAAGAGAAGAACAAGCTGCACTCCTACACAGCAGGATAAGATCTGCAGGATCAAACAAGTGTGACGACACAGATGTGTTTTCGGTGGTGTGTTGTCAGTTTGTGTCACAGGCGGAAGAGAAGAATATGTCACTGAACTGTCCCTGGAGAGTCACGGCAAGCAACACAAACAGATTCATGTTGTATGACATTATGACAGGTGACAGAATATATTAATAGACTATGTAAAATTCGTATAGGGACCAGTAAGTTATCACATACAAGACAACATGTTGACAGTTTCACCCTGCTGTGCCCTGCTCTGCTTTAAAAAGAACAACTCACCAGAGAGGCAGGTTTGAGGTCTTTGATGATGGGGTTCTCTCTGACTGACAGGTGGAGCTGGTAGCCACTCAGGATGAGCCGGTGGTTGATGGAGTCTCCCACCAGGTGGATGCTGGCTCCCATGACAAAAGTGATAATGCAGAGGTAGACCGCTGAGCGAGGCAATGCTCGTGGACTGCGCTCGATCAGCTGAAAGAAACAGCAACACACACATTCTGCATAATGACACCAACTGTATCTTAAGGTGAGTCATCTATTACTACTAATTCATTGTTTTGGTTACATCTGTAGAAATTCATCTTAATTTTAAATGTGCATAATCCAAAGCAAGTAGGGTTTTTCATCTAATAACACAATTGCAGACATGACCTTTCTTTATCAGTCGAGATTGTTTTGGTGTAAGTTGCAAAGTGTTACAGATATAGGCCTTAGAGATGTCTGCCTTCTCATCAATATAAAGGAAGTAGATGGCTTGTGGTGCTCAAAGTGCCAGAATAATAATTATATATCTCATCTGGCCTGGGAACGCCTTGGGGTCTGGAAAGTATTGCTGGGCAGAGGGACGTCTGGGGTGCTTTGCTTGGCCTGCTGCCCCCACGACCCGGCCCTGGATATGTCGATGAAGATGGATGGATGGGCTTGTGGTGCTCGAAGTACCAAAGAAAATACATTTAAAAACTCAACAACAATGTCTCTTTCCAGAAATCCTGACCTGGTTACTCAAGATAATCCACAGACCTTGTTGTGAGTGGTTTCATGTAGGAACTATTTTCTTTCTAACAACTAATCCTGCCAACTGTATCACCACGCAGAAGACCTGCATCTACTGCTAGCTCACCTAGCACCACTGAGCTAACTATGTTACAGCTTAGCCGAGGAGGACGCCGTTATTGTTTACATCTTGCGCTGTGACGAGCACAAGCCTCTCGTCCATGAGTTGATGCAAGCTTCCTTCTGCGTGGTGATAAGGTTGGCAGGTGTACTTCAATAGAAAGAAAACAGTTCCTGCATGAAACTGCTCACAACAAGGTTTGTGGATTATCTTGAGTAATTGGGTCATGATTTCTGGAAAGAGACATTGCTGTTGTATTATTTTGGCGCTTTGAGCACCACAAGCTGGGCATATATATCAGATAAAAGCAAGACATCTTTACGGGCAACATCTCCAAGACTCAGCTCACACCAAAACAATCTAGATTGATTAACAGATCTACAGGTAAGAGGAAAAATATGTATTTTTGATTTTGGGGTGAACTGTCCCTTTATACTTGCTGTATTTCAGATATTTTACCCTGTTTTGTGCCTATTTCTATCTGCTCTTCAGGTCTTGTCAGCGCTGTGATGTGGCAGACTGCAGACATTCAGGAATCAACCCCCAGGTCTTTGTGTGCAGGAATCTCACCAATGTGCTTTGAAAAGCAGGCATGTCACTTTAGGTTACCTTATAATTTTGGGTCACGTGTCAGTTTAGCTTGTAGAAACATCAACAGTTAAAACAAGTCACAAAATCTTTACTGAGGCTTTTTTGATCCTTAATGACAACTGAAGCAAAATAAAAGACAAGCAGCTCAGAGTTACAGTACCACTCAGTTCACAAAGCCTAACAACACGCTGAACAAGCGTCTCATAAAGCTGATAATCACTTAACCCTGGGTTTGCCGATCAGGCAACATTATCATTATATTCACATGAAAGAAACAGGGTTTGTAATAACAAGGCAATCACATACAACACTGACAGAACTGTTGAGCCTCGAGGGGAAATTAGTTGACTGCAGAATCAAGGGGTAATATTCAGCAAAATAAAACATGAATGTTTACAACATAAACACAACAGGTAGGGATATGTAGAGAAAGGTGTGGAAATCAATAACAATCTTTAATCCTAATTATCATCAGAGTTTACAACATGTGAAGTGCAGGTATCAGACACTTAAATTTAGTGCGTTTTAAGAGCTTTTCAGGATAGTTTTTTTTCCAAAATTAAGACTAGTTTTTTTTTATTCAAGCATTGCAGGTAACAAAGGTAATAAAGGTAAGTAGTATATACTGCGTAGTCCTGGTAGAGGTAGGTTTTATGTAGGAATATGGTTATTAGAGTGAGTTAGGTTAATCTACATTTTGCCAACAGGTAAGTGCAAGGATAAAGTAAAAAGACAATTTAAGATGCAGTCTTAGGTTTAAAGATTTAATGTCAGTGATGTGGACTGTCATGCAGGAAAGCTCGACTCATTTTGACAAAAAGAAGTTCACAGATGACCTTGCAAAGTCAAATTAATACTATTTAATGACTTTAGGACATCATAAGACTTTTAAAGGACCTGCAGACACCCTGAGTGTCCCAGAACAGGACTGATAAGGAAATGCACTTGTTTCTCTGGTGTCTCAAGCTGAACAAACTATTATAAGGAATACAAGGAATGGATAATAAGCTATACAAACATTAGAACAACTAATAGTTAAAAGAGCACGTTTTTGGGGCGCGCAGGAGCTCACCTGGTAGAGCAGGTGCTCCACCTGCAATGGTTTTGTCCTTGCTGCAGCGGCCAGGGGCTCGATTCTGAGCCACAACCCTTTGCTGCATGTCATCCCCCCCATCCCCAGCACTATCCCATCAATTGAAGGCTAAAAGCCCTAAAGAACTACATGTTTTGTCAGTGAAGCAACAGAACGATGCAACAGATTGCCCTGATGTAACTGTGTAAATAAAAAGGCTTGAACAGAAGAGTGTTTAATACTCAGTAAAGTCTGTGTGACCAAAGGTGTTACACGTTTTTAAGTGTAAATAACTCTAATACAAAGGCTTCATCAGGCTACACACAGTACAAAGTGTATGTAAAATGTTTCTTATTCACAAACGTGTGCCAGGTTTCCCTGCAGTGATGAAATAAGAGTGCAGAGGCAACCCATGGTGAACCAATCACTGTCAGGAAGCCTATTGGGAATTTAAGACTTTCAGCGTAATTATTTGCAACAGTAAAGGTCATTCATAATTGGCACCACAGGTTAATTAGCTTTCTGCTGTATGTTTGCAGCCGTGCCTACAGCAACTGGTTGGGCTGCAAATATTTTTTATGCGAGCAAAGTGATTCCACTGATATGAGAAATGTTTCTGTGCTGTTGCTGGAGTCAGTTCTACCTGTCTGATGGATAGTAGGCAGTTTGTTGGCAACAATGATGGGCCTGCTTGTCTGTAAAAGTTACGTCATTAGGAAAGTGTGTGTTAAGTCACATTTGGGCTTCATCAGTCTTGTATAGAGAATAAAAGGAAACTAATTAAAGGGACAGTCCACCCCAAAATCAAAACTACATATCTTCCTCTTAGCTATAGTGTTCTTTATCAATCTTGTTTTGGTGTGAGTTGCCAAGTGTTGGAGATATTGACCATAGAGATGTCTGCCTTCTCTCCAATATAATGGAAGTAGATGATACTCAGTTTGTGGTGCTCAAACGTACAAAAAAATAAATGATTTAAAAAAACTCTGTGAGCAGTTTCATGTTGGAACTATTTTCTTTCTATTAAACTACACCTGCCAACTGTAACACTGTGCAGAAGGAAGCGTGCATCTTCTCCTAAACATTACTTGCATCCTTTTCGGCTGAGCTATAACGTGTAACGCTCAGTGGTGCTAGTTGAGCTAGCAGTAGATGCAGGGATTCCTCTGTATGATGATACGGTTGGCGGGTGTAGTTTGATAGAAAGGAAATAGTTCCTACATGAAACCACTCACAACAAGGTCTGTGGATTATCTTGAGTAACCAGGTCAGGATTTCTGGAAAGAGACATTGTTGTTGAGTTTTTAAATGTATTTTCTTTGGTACTTCGAGCACCACAAGCCCATCCATCCATCTTCATCGACATATCCAGGGTCGGGTCGCGGGGGCAGCAGGCCAAGCAAAGCACCCCAGACATCCCTCTGCCCACCAATACTTTCCAGACCCCAAGGCGTTCCCAGGCAAGATGAGATATATAATTCCTCCGCCGTGTTCTGGGTCTGCCCTGGGGCCTCCTACCAGTGGGACGTGCCTGGAACACCTCTAACTGGAGGCACCCTGATCAGATGCCCAAACCACCTCAACTGACCCCTTTTTGACACAAAGGAGCAGCTGAGCACCACAAGCCTAGTGCCATCAAGTTCCATTAACCCACACCAAACAATCTAGATTGAAATACTTCAGACTTCAGAATATTTATTGTACCCTTGGGTAAATTCGGTTTACAGTGAGTGAGTCATCTCGTATTGTGAACACACAGAACACCACAAGACAAGACAAAGTGACGGCAGTGCTTAGGCTAAAAGAACAAAAAGGACGGCCCCAAGATAAAAAGCAAAATAAGTTAGATAAAAAGGCCTAAGAATGCGTCAAACCAGGCCAAATGATAAAGATGTGCCATTCATAAAAACAAGATAAAAGAAACAGTACAAGAAATAAATACATAAGTTATGTTACAGTTTCTCTCACTTGTTAATAGCACTGATGGCTGCTGGTACAAAGCTGTTTTTGTAGCGTATGGATTTACAAGCAGGTACCGTGAACCTCCAACCTGATGGGAGCAGCTGAAACTCACCATTAAGAGGGTGGGAGTCATCTCTTACAACAGAGTTAACTATCCTCTGTAGCTGTTTAGCATACAGGGATTCTGGGTGAAGCTGAGACTCTCCAATCAGCTTGCTAGACCATTTCACGATTTGGTTTAAACAGTTTTTGTTTTTTAAGGACACGTTTCCAAACCATGAAACAAGACAGAAAGATAAGACTGATTCAATAAAAGCACGATAAAACAAGGTCAGCATGGTCCTGTCAATGTTAAAAGTGAACAGTTTTCTCAGAAAAACAGGCGCTGGCGTCCCTTTTTGTGCTTCGCAGTTTGCCTCAAAGTTCAGTTTGTTGTCGATGACAGTTCCAAGATATTTGTACGTGTTGACACACTTCACTATCTGACCTTTTAAAACTGTGGCCTCTTGATTTGAAGCCCTGTTTTTACGAAAGTCAATGATCATGTCTTATGTTTTGGAAATGTTCATCTCAAGGAAAGATTTACTGCACCAGTCAAGAAAATCATTAACCACTGGGCCATGGCTCGTGTCATTGTTTTTCAGCAGGCTGACAATAACTGTGTCGTCTGCGTACTTTAAAATGGTTCTATCCTCTCTGCTGCTGCGGCACATGTTTGTATAGAGGATGAACAAGAGAGGAGACAGCACACATCCTTGTGGGGAGCCAGTGGAGGATGTAACCTGATCCGAGACAGCTCCATTCACTCTCACTTTCTGTGTCCGGTCAGTTAAGAAGTTCAAAATCCAACCCGCAAGATTGTTGCTTATGTTAAAATGCTCTAAAAGCCTTAAGGCTAAAACATGGGGTTGGATTGTATTAAAAGCAGATGAAAAATCAATAAATAAAAGTCTAGCATGTGTTCCTTTCCCCTCCAGATGTTTAAAAAGCAAATTTAATAAAGTAACTGTAGCATCTTCTACCCCTCTATTGGGTCTATAAGCAAATTGCATGGGATCAAGGTCATGCTCAGTTTTGAGAAAATTGTTAGATCTGAAATTTTGAAGAAAACATTTCATTACAATCGATGTCAGTGCGATTGGTCTGAAATCATTGAGGGTTTTGGGAGAACTGATTTTTGGGGCAGGGATAACAACAGCATCCTTCCAGACTCTTGGCACATGCTGCATCTTTAGAGACTGATTGAAAATGTGCTGAAAAATAGAGCTCAGCTCCTTCACACAAGATTTCAGCAAGCGGCCACAATTGTTACCAGGACCATACCTTTTATTTGGTTTAAGCTAACAGAAGGATTTTTCAACGTCCTTCTGGGAAATAAAAAAGTGCTGATTGTCACTCACTTTATGACTCACCTCCTGTATTTCCTGACTAAAATCAAAAGCATCAAAACATGTATAAAAACAGTTAAGTGCATTTGCAAATTCAATGTCTGACTCAAAGCCATCAAAAGAGATGATACTGCTGGTTTTAGAGTGTTGGAGGCCTGCAATGGCTTTCATGCTAGACCAAGCAGATCCAAGATTATTCATAGCCATCTTGTTCTCCAGCTTCCATTTGTAGTCCTGCTTTGCTTTTAAAATCCCAATTTTCACCTCCTTAGTGGCTGTGTGCAGCTCGGAGACTGCTCCATGTTTAAAAGCAAGTCTCTTGGCCTGTATACAAGCCTTAACTGACCTAGTGACCCATGGCTTATTGTTGGGAAACACTTTTACACGCCTGCAGGGAATGATCATGTCCCTGCAAAAGGTGGCATATGAACAAGTGACATCAGCAAGTTCATCAAGATTATCACCACAGGCTTCTTTAAACAAGTCCCAATCAGTGCAGTCGTAGCACTCCTGCAAGCAAAGCACAGCCTCCTCAGTCCAGTCCTTAATGTCTCTTGTATGGACCTTTTCCCTCTTTAACACAGTTCTGTATGTAGGCAGGAGATGCACACAGTTGTGATCCCCCGAGCCCAGGGGGGGGTAATGGGAGAGATTTATATGCCTCCTTAACAGACCCATAACAAAGATCAATAGTTTTATCCCGTCTGGTTGGACAGGTTACATATTGATAAAAGTCAGGTAGTGTCTTTTTAAGGGAGGGATACAGCACTACAGGTTGGAGGAAAAATACGGATTTTTGATTTTGGGGTGCGCTGTCCCTTTAAATTGCATGATTACATATTGATATTTTATAGTATAAACTCTGAGTAGATTCATTGTCTCATACTGAATGTTCTTTGAATTAGCCTCTTTCACAACCACCAAAATCCTTTGTTGTGTTAACACTTACCTTGAGCATTAGAAATGGTGTGATGACATTGTATGCCATGTGGAAATAGTCTCCAGCACTGGGCTTGTTGAGGGGAAACCACTCCAGAGGAAGGATAATCTAATACAAATGATACCAAGAAACTATTAGAGTCTGTAACCAGTGATTTCATCATTTTTTACACTCTTTAAAACTGTATGAGGTAAGTGTTGCATACTTCGCTCCTCCTTACCATTACAATAGGCCTTCCAAAGTCCAGTATCCAGTTCTGCAGAGTCAGGCAGAACCACAGGTCGGAGTGGAAGTGCTGCCTTTTCTGCTGTGCCACGATTTCCTTCACACCGCCAGGAGTGCTGTCAACACACATTTACAGTGACCATAAGTCATTGTAATGAAACAACGTTACAAAAGCAAAGGGCAGAACAGAGGTTAAGCATTTAATAGACATGTTGGGAATACTGTAATAAAGTAGGGTTTACAATGGTGTTTATTGCTGCAGTAACTTCGGATTAAAACCCATGGCCGCCCTTGCTGATTTTACTTATCTACGTTATCACTCCTTTTTTATTAGGCAACATCCTTCATAAAAAAGTTAACAAAGCACTTTAGCTTTTAACTACTGCAAAGCAGGATGGTACACATATGTAATGGAAATTTAAAAAAAACCTTTCTCAAGCATTTGCACTGAAGAGTTTATATATTTAGCACACTGTGGTAAATATGTAAAAGAAGGAAAGGGAAAGGGAAAATTGCACAATGTAGTGCATAAATACCATAATAGGCTTTTACGTTAAAGGTGAAATTACTGTACGTTTGCGAATATAAGTGTTCTTTTTTTTCTTCCTGCACTTCATGAAATCAAACTCAAATGATGTGTGCACCAGCATCTGTGTATTTCTGTGTATTGTACTCATCGTGCATTGTGTGCTGCTGTGCAATTTCCTGCCGCTCGCTGAATGCAGCCAGTATGGCTCAGCAAAGTACTTAATGTACTGGAAGAAAAAAAAAGATGAGTGCAACTGAATGGGTACTTCACTACTGAATGTAACTTCTGTGGATAAAGAGTCCTTGTTACTAGGGGCCTTCTGACTAATCTCTGCAGTATTGTATAATTATTTTTCTTTGTGGTGGATCATTTTTTTTACACATGACCAACATCATTTCACTTTTTGTCCATTACTGTTTCCACAATGCTTTCAGTTAATTTAAGGCCGACTGCTGTCCTTAACACTTACCGCAAGTGCATGTAGTTTGCTGTATATCTGTGCACCCACAAGCATAGTGAGGCCAAATACCGTAAAACTTAGATTAAAAGTCTGTCGGAGCTAGATCAAATGAAGAATTCATTATTAATATGCTATCTGAAGCCTAATTTTATACAAGTAACTGTATGTTCAAACCAACAGTGACCAGAGCTTCCAAAAGAGCTTCCGGAAGTCATTCATTTTCAATGAGAGCCCAGCGACTTGGGCAACTTGGGCAATCTGATTGTCAGCCGACTGGTCTTGGGCGACTAAAGCTACTGGAGAGGGTTTGGAGAGAAGTTAAAACTTGTTTAACTTTATGGTAATGAGCTCTGACGCAGTTTGGCGACAACCAATCGGAATGCTGATGTGCTTCGATGAAACGGGTCCCAGAGAACAAGCCATGTAACTTTGGTTCCTACAGCACACTTGTTCCGACAATGGATATCGAGAAGTTGATTACTTGCGTTCACGCCCACTCAGTCCTTCATAATGTGTCGCTGTTCGGTTACAGAGACCAAAATAAAAAGAAAGAGGCTTGGGACCTCGTCGCAGGGGTAGTTGATTGGTCTGGTGAGTTTTAAAGTGTGCAATGTTAGTAATACAGGAGAGAATTGCAGGCTAATGTTGCAATACAGCATGCAAGTCTTCCTTGCTTGGTTTGAATGGGATGGGATGACATACTGCAAAGCAAAGCATTTTATCAACACAGATTTGTGCTTTTTTGACTAAAGCGACCCAAGCTGCCACAAATATTTTTGACAGTCGTGATTCTTGGGCGTCCGCGAGAGACTTTGTCTCTTTGGAAGCTTCTGGTTTGAACGTACACTAAGACTCGTACTGGTTTAAATAAGCAATTTGATTGCATTTCCCATCTTTGCTGAGCAATCCTTTGTGTGAAAGGAATGTAAGGCCTGTTATATATAGACACTTGTCCCAAATATAGCCTGTTGAGTTCAGTGGTTTTAGCAAATAATAGCCCGGGCTATTATTTGAAGTTTTATGGTAAGATCACTCAATCCAACCCAGGAAGGGAACAAAGCTATTTACAGCTTCCACTGACCCACAGCTCACCCAGAAACAGGCACCAGGTTAACTTTTGCAGGGTAAATTATGAAAACAGTGAGGTGCCTTTCAATATCAGCTGTACTGGTGATGAGCCAACAGTCAACCAGCATCATTCCTGCTGGTTCAGTCGTGGGACAGTGGGACCAGCAGACAAGAGGAAGGTTAACATCCAGCGGTATTGCATCTGTATATCTGTAGATGCATATATCTGTCACATGATGAAGGTTGTTTATACAGTTACTCTGTTTGTTCTCAGCTATGAGACTTCACAACAGACGCATTTAAATGAGCCTGAAAGTTGAGACGTTTTAAAATTGAGCGAATTTACACTTTAATTTACATCACCAACAGCTAATCAGCGCGTGCTCACTCTCAATCGCGCGTCCAACCGTTGACTTTGACGCAGTCGCGCCGCCTTTAGTTTTCGTTTCTGGACACATGATGCGGCCGAACAAGCAGGAGAGCAGATACTGAACTGTAACTCGCAACAAGAGCTTATAAAGACGTTAATTTCTTAATATCTCCATGTTTCTGAACCCATTCTGCTCTCCTTCATTGACACCGACCGTCGCCTAATGTGTGTACAAACCTAGTTTGTGTTGTTTGTGAATCGTTTCCTCGACGTTTTCGTACAGTCTGCATTTTCAGTTCCGTGTTTGCTATCGTTTGTGAAACTAGCAGTGCTCCCTGACCGTCCCGTGGTCCAAATGATGGAAAGTTAACGGTATTAAACTGCAGTAAACATCTTTCTGTCACAACTCCTTTGCACTTCCTTGTTGCCGCCTTGTTCCCGCCCCTCCGCCTCATCCACCAATCAGACTGCAGCAGAGGAGTTAGAGGCGACAAGGGCACAGTTAACCCTGAGTTCTGATTTGTAGGCAAAGTCAACAACTTTAACTACAAAAAAACTTAAAAAAGCACATGAATTAAAAACATTTTGTATTTTTTGGAGCGAACTGGAATTATAATATTTTTTTTCAGTGGTTAATTATAATAAATTAATACATTGATCTGATACTTTTAAAAGGCATCTTTAAATCATTTATCAATTTCACTTTAATGTACTGACTTTAATTCATTTCAATTGTTCACTTTGCATTAGAAACTGAAAAAAGCATTGAATTGACAATCAGTAAATCTCTTTCCACACAGTGGAGAGTTTGCATGTTCTCCCCATGTCAGTGTGGGTTTTCTCCGAGTACTCTGGCTTCCTCCCGCATTCCAAAGACATGCAGGTTAATTGGTGACTCCAAAGTGTCCGTAGGTATGAATGTAAGCATGAATGCTTGTCTGTCCCCATAAGTTCAATTCAATTTTCAATTCAATTTTATTTATAAAGCCCAATATCACAAATCACAATTTGCCTCACAGGGCTTTACAGCATACGACATCCCTCTGTCCTTAAGACCCTCACAGCGGATAAGGAAAAACTCCCCCAAAAAAAAA